TTCTCAACCAACTCTTAACTTTGCTTCAAAACTAATGCTTTATTCAATTCAGTAACTGCGTATCACTCTCCTTCATACCTTCTTTACATTTGCTCTCAAAATGTATACAACGATCTTCCGAAAAGTCTGTTGTTCTGCTTATCTACTATGCACTCTTACTGCGTAGCCCAGGCTGGTTTGGAACCTTCAATTCTCCTACCTCTGCCTCCAGACTTAATGGGATTATAGACATGAATCACCATGTCAGACTCAAGGTTTTAAAGAAATTCAAAGAGGGCTAGAGACTGCAGGTTTAGATTTGTATCTGTTCTAGGGTAGATAACTCTCCTCATTGCACAGGTGTGCACCATCCCCTTCCCATGACTGCAGAGGCCTCCTTTTCTTCTTCTGGAAACACTCAAAAGGTGCTTTATCCAAAAGAGAGGCTTCTGCAAGCCATGCCAAGTACCAAACAGTTGCATGAACAATGCATAAAAACCATTAAATCATAGTAAAGGAGGAAAGGGAATGGAATATATTTCTTTTAGTGGCTTAAGACACATGTTCTTCCTCTATCAGGACTATCCTGCATGGGATCACAAGACACTCCCAGAATTCGTAAAGAAAACAGCAAGAGGCTAGTTACTTTCTGTTCTAGGATCCAAAGAAACAGCACCAACTCAAAGTAGAGACAGTAAAGGAGGAAGCTAGCCTGACATTCACTGCCCTCCCCTACCACACTAGACCTGCTCCCCAGAGAAAAGGAACAGGTGTGAATTCAGAACAAGTCAAGGCAAGAAGAGAAGCAATCCATTGAACTAGAATGTTAACCATGTCTGATTAGTTAGGAGAGAGGACAGAAAGAGGAGACAAAGAAATATTGTTATCTGATACAATAAAAGCATGCAATATCTTTTGTAGATATTATTTGACCAAAGAGAAACTCTCATTCTGTAATCCACAGATATATTTGAAGGGTGATATTATAGCACTATGAAACTGTGCATGTGCTATCTGTAATGCAGAGGACCACAAGGAAAAACAGATAGTGGCCTTCAGGAAATATTTTCATTTGCTTGCTCCTTTTATGATCTGAGTACCTCCCGAGAGCTCAGATAACAAGTATGCACCACCACACCTGGTTTATTCAGTGCTGATGGTCATCCAATCCAGGGCCACCTGCATACTAGGAAAACATGCCCATCTGGGCTACATCCCCAGTTTCCCCCATTCCTAAGGCATGTGGATATTTCTCTTTACTCCAAGATAGAAAAAAAAAGAAGAGATTTCAATGACCAAGTCTAAAAACCACACTGTGAACAATGCACAGCCAGCCAGCATTAGATTACTTATAACTAATCTTAATGTTATTTTACTTCTAAATGTTAAAGGTTCTCAGTTTTAATATCAATAGGCTTTCATGTGATATGGAGACTGTTTCCCTCCAAAGGAGTCAAAACTATACCACTCTGGCATTTGAGCTATTTTAAATTAAAGGCACTTCATGTAAGTGTTTAAAAACAGCAGGTGGGAGGGCACTGCTTTAACCTTGGCACTTTTCTTAAAAGCAAAAGATGAAATTTCCCAGTGAAAAGAAGAGCATCCTTATCATCAAGGACAGAGTTATCTGTATAGACTTCATTTAAAAAAAAAAGAAAAAGAAAAAAAAACCTTAGCTTTTGTTTACATTTTCCACAGAATTTTTATAACTGGTGACCCTTTGCCCCATTCAATTTGTAAGGGTGCTCATTGTTTCTTATCCTTTTCTTCTCTATGAGGGTTCCTTTGCCAGCAATTCTTATACTTGCTAGTGATGCTGTCTCCTCTTATTCCGGCATCCATCTAATTCTAAACCCTGTATGGACTCTCAGAGAATGAGGGTGCAGAACCACAGGTCCTGTGCAGCTACTTATGAGCATCAGTGGTCTCTAAAACTTGCAGAAAGTAGAACATGCCACCTGATTTACACCTAGTGTTTCTCATCTCACAGTATCTGCCAGGGCTACCAAGGGATTTGGTTTTGCGGTATACACTCACAGTAGACTCCTCTCTCACAGAGAAAGCTTCTGACATAGGAAGACTGTAGGCTTTTCCATTCATTTAACTCTTCAAATTTAGCAAGTATTTTAAAGCTAGAAGGTTACACAATAATGAGTGATCTACAATCTGGAGCCAAATTCATATATATGCAATATTTTTTTTTGAAAAATCAGTATTAAGAAGTTGAGTTCCACTATGCCAGCATGCCATGATAACCCTAAGGGTGTAATACAGGCATGCACACCATGGTGATAACCAATAAATTTCTAATTAGACTTAAGAGGGAAGTAATGCAATGAGAGGGAAATCATATTTGGTACTGGAAACCTAGCCAGCTACCCAGGACTAGTGAAGTCATGAATCTTGAATGAGAACCTACAACTGTCACTTGACTAAACCAGCATAATCCCTGAATAGTGCTATATTTACCCTTATACCAGATATGTGTAGTCTTCACCCCTCATTCAAGAAAAGTCTCAGTTCAACAGACAGAAACTATTATAGAAAACTATAACCAATCAAAATGTAGAGGTGTGGATCCAATGCCTGGATACATCTACAAAACAAATTCCATACTTAAGGCTCAAGGAATATTGCAGAAGAGGGGCCAGAAAGATTAGAAGAGTCGAGGGTTAGGATGTTGGCTGTGAGACTGTAATTTCAGAACCGATACTCTAAAGTCTCACTGATTTGATTGCCTAAACATGATCTGAACAAGGAAAGCAACAGTCTCCATGACAAAGTCAACTGGAGAAGGGGGGCATTCCACAAGGCCTCACCCTACACAAAGAACTATACAGGCAACTAAGGAACACTGAGAGTAAGACAAATAGACTTCCCAAGAAAGAGCACACCAATTTGTTATCCAACACCAAACAGTCAGTCCTGAAAAAATATATACATTAACATTATACAGACTGAGCAGGTTGTCTTTAGGAATACATATACATTTATGCATGTAGCAACAATTAATGAAAAAAAGAGGCCATGAATTTGAAAGAAAGCAAGGAGGGATACATAGGTTTAGGAGAGAGGAAAGGGAAGAGATAAAAGATGTAACTCTACTAGAGCTGTTACTTTGGAAATTATGGGGAGGACAGCTCTATAATTACATTCCATCACACTAGCATCCAGTGCTCCAGTCATGATCCCAAATTGACCCAGCAGTGTAACCAAGCAGACCCAACCAGTGTAACCAGTGTAACCATTAACCAACACGTTCTTTATTGAAATTATTTAATATTTTAATACTATTATATTTTTGTTTTACAATGCATTATTTTTTTACCCATATACTAACATCTTCCTTTATGATCTCAAGATATATTTCATATGCTAAATTTTCAGGCAACATATTCCAATAATTGTATATAAGGAGGAACATACTGTCTGCTCAGGGTTTTTTTTTTTTTCTTCTATAGTAGTCATATTCCTCAGGTCTCTAGTTATGGAGATTTTTAAACTCAAGTTACTTTGGGTGTGTTGCCTAGTATTTCTAAAAACAAATACTGAATGGCAAAAAAGAAGGGGAAAAGAAGTTGGGTTCTAGGCATTATAGAGCAAGCTAAGCACTTGCTTGTGACATTATTTCCACTGATTTCTGGTAAACACCAGGTTTCTTCCTATCTGATGTCACTAACACTTTGCTGCAATGAAATTTCAGTTCCCTGCCCCTGAGATCCTGAGAAAATTAACCTCAGATTGCTACTTAGTGAGTAATACACAATGTGAACTGTCCCTCTTTCTAGGGCCTCTGTGAAGAATGGACAACAAACTGGAAATTATGGAGCAAGCTAGGGCCTGCGTATTTTATACATGATATTTTTACTGCTGATTCCCAGGAAGCACCAGACTTTGCCATTGATATCAGGCCCATCATGACAAGGAGAAATGAATTAGTGTCTCTGCCCTCAAAGACTTTATGTTCTAATAGAAATATTTAAATTCAACCAAGTCATACATTGCTACACTTTACAATGATGTCTTCTTACCTCTTCTCTTGCAAATACAATTTCAATTACTAAGGGTCCCACAGGGCAAAAGAATCAGTAGCAGCCACAGATTCAGGCTGCAAAAGAGCCTCTGCAGAAATCCTGCTGGCCTGGAGTGTGTGCAGGAAGTCTGAAGAGCTCTACAGTAGCCCCATCAAGCCTGAATCTCATCTGCATGCCCAGTAGAGACCTGTGTTAGCTATCAATGGAAAGATGGGTGAGTCATACCTGATCCATCCCTGGAGAAAACCCCAGCTACTTAAGGTATAACTGATAAATGGTGAAAGGCTCTCTTTGTTGTAAGTCAGCTTCTCTGACATTGCCTAGCTATCTCAGAATATTTGCAACCCATTTGTATTTGGTAGGGCCCCTCTCATTGGGCTTCCAGAGGTCTCTGGCTCATGAACATGGCTTCCTACTGTAGTTCCGACATTTTTTTACTCTTGTCTTCCACACTAGACTGCAACCTTTTTTGTTTTCTATAGCCACCTGCCTAGCACACGTACTTCCAAGTTCAACAGATTTGTGTTGAATTATTGATCGGTGCCAAGCACTGTGCCAGGCAATGAGAAACTGGCATTAAAAGTGCATTCCCTGCCAAAGAGTAAATAATGAAGTAGAGAGACGGAGTCAGCAATTCAAACACGTGATCTATGCTAATGGAACACAGTACTGGATGAGGAGAGAGGATAAAGGAAGGAATATGGGTGGGGGGAAGCGAGGGGAATGGACGTTGTCCCAGTGAAACAGGGAAAGGCTACATTCCCCAGTGGCTATGAAATAGACTCTGGGGAGTTACAGGTAGTACAAATAACATGGGGGTAAAACATCTGGAAAAAAAAAAAAAAAGAACAACAGAAAGGTTGGTTCAAATATCCAGAGGTCAAATACACAGAGGTTAGCCTTAGGAAGGAACTTTGAAAATACTGTTGTTAAACATGAATAAAGTCTCCCATATTGAATACAGAAAGTTTCTGTAACACTTCTTACCTCCCTGAAATTGCTTTTGTTGGCCCTGGGATCTCCGGGACAGGACGATGTCTCAGCAGAAACGATCGAGAAGGTCTGGAGACCAGCTTGCTCCGGCTTCTCATGGGTGTGTGGACTGGTGATGAGGGAACATACAGATCATTCACAACCATCTCTCCTTGAAACTGAAAGAACGGGGCTGGAGGGGAGCTTTCTAATGAGCCATTGGTACCATTTCCAGAATGTGTTTCTGATGTTGGATAGTCCACAGAGGGAAGACATTCAGGGTTTGTGCTAAGAGCCTTGCTGGAATTTTCTGATATCAAGCTGACTTTTCCTGTTTGTTCTTCTCCAGCTGTACAGTCCACAGCCTTCTGGGTAATCAAAGAATCTATTTTAACATTTACACCACCAAATAAAGAATCTTGCGGAGAATCCACAGTCTGGTGTTGCTCTTCTTCTGGAAAGGGCAAGTCTTGTGGAGAAAGGGATAGCTTATCTTGTGATTTAGGAGACTGGCAATTTCCTACACCAAAGGTACTCATTGTAACCGTCTCCAACGGTGTCAGGCCTGGTCTAGGAATACTAACGGAATCAGAAAATTCTACACAGGTGTTGTTGCTGGAAGATGGAGGATTGTGAGGCTCTTCTGGGGTGTTGCCATTCTTTGTTTTATGAACATTTGCATATATTGGGATGTCTTGCATTTTTGAAAAGATCATCTGTAACTGTTTAAGTATCCTCCTACGGTGTCCTGTTGGTGAGATTCCAATCTGGTGTAGCACACTATCATTTATCGATGTACAGTCCTTCACAGTATAAAAGCCAAATTCACGGAAATGTAAGAGGTACTGCTCCAAATTGATGCTCATTAGGAAATCTCTGATGTCCACATTTACTTCACTGACTGAGGACATAATGGTGGCTTCATTACTACCTGAGTTTTAAAAAGCAGCACAATGAGACACACACAAGGATGTACTTCTTACGTTTTTTTTTTCCTCTATCACTTTTTATAATGTTTTCAGAATGTTATTTTCTGGTTTTAGAATGTTATTCCTGTTCATATGCTGAAGCCTGAAAAAAAAATTAGGATATTTTCATTATTATGAAATATAATATATATATATATGTATGTATTTATATATAAACTATATAAATAGTTTCTTTCAGTGGTGCTAGGAATCAAGCCAAAATCTTCAGACATGCTAAGCAAGCACTTTACCCCCAAACTCCATTCTCAGCCCAGTATCCTTCAATTAGTAAAGCCTAGTTTTACACTAAACTTACCCTGTGAAAACAAAATAGACATTAAGGGTACATTTGCTACCTGCTGAGATTGGATTCTTTGGTGCATTGAAAGCCAATCCCTAGGCTTAACACAAAGTTGCAGACCAGAAATGATATGATAATACCAAAAGATTTTAGAAAAAGAAAAAAATGAGTCTCACAAATATAAGGTATATACATGTGAAAACAAGTTTATTTATATCATTAACTGATAAAAGCACAAGTAAAATGATAAGAAAGACCAGTTTTCAAAGCATTTGTGAAACAGTTTTATACTGGTCACCAAAAAAAATTTAAAAAAAATAAAAAATAAAAAAATAAGCATTCAAAAAAGTAGAATCACACAGCTGGGTAAGATAAAGACCTGGTTAATATTCTATATACAGGGCAATACAATAATATCTGAAGATAGTAATTCCCTGAATAAAATTTCAGGTGCTACTAGGAACTTCTCGAGGCTTACTTTCTAGTCGAATAGTAAGCTGCCAGTCAGATACAAGACTTAGAATTAATATTAAATATTCACAGGGTGGTGTATTAAGCAAGAGCCCCCAAGACACTGACAGTCTTGAGGTCTAAGTTCCTGGTAATTTCTCTTCACTAACTTCTGTTAGTTTCTGGCTGTTAAGAAGCAGGCAGACCCTCTTGCACCTTACATTTCAAAAGAGCAGGTGGCATTATGTGTTAACAATCAATATTAACACGCAAGAGAACACCAGCTGAATGATAATTTAGGTAATTCTTAAGTACATTAATTAGCAGGAAATATAGTAATACGAGGGTGAAATGTAAAAGTTTAAAGGTCATGTTTTCCTTCAACGTATTCATAGCAAGTACATTTTTCTCCCAAACAAAGTTTTATGCTTTTTTCCAACCTTACTTGTATTTTCTTCCTTCCTTCCTTCCTTTCTTTTCTTTTCTTTTCTTTTCTTTCTTTCTTTCCTTTCCTTTTTTTCTTTTTCAGTAGTAAAGATGGAGACAAGGACCCTATTCATGCTGTGTGAGCACTCTTATCACCGAGTGACACTCCCTACCCTTTCTACTTTGTAAATAAAGCTTAAAATGATCTCACTGGTCTTGAACTGATTCTTTAGACAAATCTATGAAGCACTGAACTCATCCAAGAGTACCAAATAATTACAGGTATGTGCCACCAGGTGTAGCATCACCAGCCTTTTAAAAAGCCAACTGATATCAGTGCTAGATATATGGGTGTGTTAAGTATGTGCAGCTATCTATACCTCATGCTTCAAGGGAAAAAAATAACTGCATAAAAGTTATAACACAACATAAAACAAACAAGATAAAATTCCCTAAGCAATGTCCTTTCTGCAGTGTGTCTGGAAACCACAACTGCTGTTGCCCTCCAAAGGGCACTGGATAGACTCAGCATGTTCCAGGGAACAAATGTTACAAGCTATTGCCTTGAATATTTAAAAAGATCAGCAAACACTATCAAAAGATAGAGCTTCAGAGAACACCCACCTTCATCAGGCTTACAACAGAAGCAGAGAAATTCAGATACCAGAGAGGAAAGCAGGAAATGCCTGTGTCAGGGCGGGTGTGGGGGAGGGAGCTAACCCACGCTACCAATACAGCTGATTGTGCAAACTTTCTTCTTCTTTATTTGTTTTTTGTCTTTTGGTTTTTGGTTTTGTTTTTTTTTTTTTTTTTCAGGACACTGGCTGGAACTAACTGCTACAATGTATAAAATAAGTGAGTTTAGAATCCAGCACATTATAAGTTATAAACACAATGAATTGCTTAATAATTTTAAAGGCTCAGAAGCACTGTCCCTTTGGGAAAAATAAATTCCAAATGGCACAGTCATGGTTACCAGCCCTCAAAATAAACCTATTAGCACAAAAAAAAACAATTTTAACAAAACATATACATATTCAAAGAAAATATCAGATCTTTCCATAAGTGTCATCCATCTACCACCCACTCACCCAAATCTGAGACCCACATCTGAAAACCCCAGCATACCCTTGTCTCACTAAGTACATACAAGGAACAGGAAAACTACTGATTTTATTCTTTGCTACAGACTAAGTTGTGGCCTCCACCCTAAAATCCCTATGCTAAAGCCTTAGCCTTCAGTGGGACTAGATTTGGAGACAGTGGTTTCTGGGAACTAATTACTTAAATGATGCTGTTCTGATACAATAGGATTAGATCCTTATAAGAAAAACCACAGAGCTTGTTATTTCCCTGACCAGGTCATAACACCTCCACCCAACTGAGGACATGGCAAGAAGAGAGCTCCCACAAGAATAGAATCAGAATCTGCCAGCCAGCAACTTGACTCAGCCTCTAGAACTATGAAAAATGCATTTCTGTTCTTTAAGCCACACAGACTGTAGTATTTTGTTGTATCAGCTGGTCTTACTCACATGCTCTTCCATTCTTGCTGCCTGTGCTATGGCCCAGGACCTGCTAATACCTTTTGCCTGAAAAACCTGCAACCGTTTCTGAATAAAACCCTCATTCCATGCACCAGTGAATTATCAAAATTTATAGTCTCAAAATTGTCAAATTGAACTTTCTTATAGTGCCATGTCACATGCTAGCCTCTTGTGAATAATAATAATAATAATAATAATAATAATAATAATAATAATAATAATGATAGCAGCAGATTCTACTGATGCAAACAGCAAGCATATGCCAAGTATCATGCCTTGTAAATGTTTCCTTGTAGGAAGTCAATCCTGTTAAGAACTCTACTATTATATTCAAACTATTTCAAACAGTCTGATAGCATCCCTTATTCACTTCACCTCATTGTTAACTGTTTTTCCTCTGAGGCAGGAAGCTCGTTATTTTTGTTCCTTTAGCATATGTTGCATCTGCTTGTCTATGCACCATGTATAGTTCTGAGGAGGCAGGTATTACCTCCTCTAAGTAGGTAACAGTTGGACCCCTAAAATAGAACAGAATGCCCTTTTCTCCATATGTATCTATAACTAGTGCTTAGAATATGAGTTATGGAACTGGACTGGTCAGGGATAGAAGTGGTTGAAGGACTTGTATTGCTAGATTTGTTTGTTGTGTGTGCGTCTGTGTTGTTCTCGTACACAGCCTTTCCTTTCACAGTACATACTTTATTTCCTGGGTGTCTGAATCAAGGACAGATACATCAGTGTTCTACTCATAACCATCTCTCCGCTACCATTCACCATGCTAAGTATAACTACAGGACAATTTTGGAGACATGGAAGAGGCTCTCTACCCAGAGACCTTGCAGTTCTTTACACTTTAATACTAGATCTGTATTCCAGTCACCTGACTTTTTAACAGTCTGATTTCAAGGGCTGAGCAACCAATGGTGTTCACATATCTATCTTTTCCTAGGAGACTTTAGCTCCAAAGAAAGTAATGAGATACAAAGAGACAGGACCACTCTTAAATATGAGACAGCAGCAGCCCTCTGTGCTTTGACTTCCCAGGGGTTATTGGGAGGCATGGTATGACTCAGTGGCTCTCCAGAGACTGGTGTAGGAATCTGCTAGACAGCAACACCTACGGACAGCAGGACTAGAAATGCCTCTTAACCCCGTCCGAACGTGATTGGGTTGTGTACTGAAACTTGGTAATTAAGAGTTGCAAATCCTCTACAGTTCTCAAGCGTGCTCTAGTGCACCTTATCACTCATTTTGCTTGAGTGGAAAACCTTCTTAACACTCTGCACACAATACAATGCACACAAATCTGGGGTCAAACTATGTTCAGGTCTTGCTTCCTTCACTTCCTAGAAGCATGAACTCAAATACAGGTCCAATGCGATGATTCAGTTTCGTTTTCTGTAAAATGCAAACACTCAGATGTACTCCAGCCTTGGTATAGGTCAAGTGGCAGAAGCCATTCCACTAACACACTGCTAGTGGTCACCCATACTATACATTCAACTCCATTACAAGATTTATGTTCACTATTTGTAAGTTCCCACTGTTGATTCCTTTCTATTCTTTGAGAAAGTACAGGGCCAGAGTTAAAAATTGTAGAGAGGAGTTCAGGGTCCATGGAAGGAGATCTTATTCCATGTCATGAAAAAGAACCAGGCTCTTTAGCCCTATTCAGTATGATAAATTGCACAGAGAGAGTTTCAAGTATAGACTTTGGCCTGCTTTCCTTGATTCAGCCACCCACAAGAATATATGCATATGACAAAGAAAGGTAAAAAACTAGGCATTAAAACACAACACAAGCCTGTGTGTGTGCGTGTGTGTATGTGTGCGCTTTGAAACCATCTCTACCACCCCTACCAACTTCTCTCCACCCTTTAAATGTGTTCCACACCATTTATAAAGTTCTGGGGTGCTAGATACAGATGTATGTGGAGAAAGTAACATTTCAGTCTCCATTTGAAAGTTATCCTGATCTCTTAATACCCTAAAGCAATGGTTCTCAACCTTCCAAATGCTGAGACCCTTTCATACAGTTTCTCATGCTGTTGTGACTACCAACCATAAAATTATTTTGTCACTAATTCGTAACTGTAATATTGCTACTGTTATGAATCCTAATGTAAACATCTGTGTTTTCTGTTGGTCTTAAGCAAGCCCTGTGAAAGGGTTTTTGGACAACCAAAGGGGTCTCAATCCACATGTCGAGAATCACTGCCCTAAAGGGTAATTGAAGGAACATGGAGAAGGAAATATGTTTTTTGTTATTTTGTAGAGAAAAGAAGCAAGAAAGCCATGTTTCTGTTAGATCTCAAAGACTAAGAGAGTTTTTTTTTTTTCATGCTAGTTAGGCTGTTGGGACAAAATACCTTAGACTGG